GTTTTGACAGCAGTTTTGAAGTACAAAGACTAATGTTTCGTGGCATAGTGTTTTTAACTAACCGTTAAAGAGACAACTTAACACCTACTGTCCGTCAATTGCTGAGATGCATTGGGTGATGGCAGCCTTATTCAAGGTGTCAACAGGGGTGTCGAGTAGTGTCCGTACGTACTTCTCGGCCGGTCCCATTTTGGTATACCTTTAAAAAACTCGCTACAATGAGTTGAATTCATTATCTGATTTCTATTTCTCGATTGAGCGTGTCAAAGCGAAAGCTATCCAGCTTGTTCGTACGCCATAAACTCACAGCGATCGACCGTGTCAAGAAGAGGTGAAACCAAGTTAAGTCGCGGTTTTTGCTTGGATCCCGACACCCGCGACTTAGCGAGGGGCCACTGTATATATATTGTATACGCTGCGTGCGTCTAACTACGTGGGCGGTGGGACCAATATTAAACACTACGCAATGCTATGTCTGTAGTGCTTAAACTTGCATATCCCTAGAATTTAGTTCCCGGTGAAAAAAAATGTAATTTCCCAAAGCTTGTGTCCATCATCTGAGCTTATATGTTCATATCGGAAGAAACTTGACAACAGACGTACGAAACTCACTAGTTTGGTTTACATTGAGATTCCAATATTAAATTGATGAACTGAAATATTCCCTGTTTACATGCTATTTGTTTGACCAAACCCCCAAACACACGCGACCGGTTTCACATTACATCATTTTCGCGTGACCTCGGGACATGTGACGTCAGAGAACACATTATCGATGCATGAGGAAAGTGTGATCTCAAATAATTAGTTCTGAACCGAAACGGAGGTCGAACCGTTTCGTCTCTTGTATCCGTGCCGTGCCGTGTGTAATTAAGGGGCAAGCCAGTGTAATTTCGTTTCGTTTTAGGTAAGAACCAGCTGTTGAAACGTGAATTCACGACACCGGCATTCAGGCAAGGGATAAGTATAAAACCATGGATGAAGTCAATTATCATATCTCCAGGATAACCCTAATTATTTCGCAAGTCTTGACATTAACCGATAAAGCATAATGTTTATTTATCAACCAAATCAGGCGTCCACCTAGCCTGCTGCCCATCCAGCTCAAAGCCATCTATCTATCGAAACAACAATATATATGTAAGATCTCGTGTGTTTTCGAAAATATCCACTCGAATAAGCATGGGCAATTTGTCATACCATGAACTGTATAATTTGTAGTGACATCACGGTCCCTTCCAAGGATGTCTGCTATATCATGATTATTTAATGCAATTAAAAACAAAATACATCAGTTAACCGCACTAATTGGATCCAAGGCCGGATACACACACGGCCCCTTACAGTGAAACCAGCTGGTTGGAGTATGGACGCGATAACTGATGGCAACTGTGGTTCCATTCACAAACAAATAAAACTATACTGATACATATACATTTTACGTACTGAGAATTTTTCTTCAGACTCTTGAAAAATTTCATTCGCAGATTTGAGTTCCACAGTTAAGTGCTTTCACGGCGAAATGTCAAAAAAACAACTACGTCACGGTGATCCATTTAATGGACATTGATGAAGCCATACAACTGAACATAAGGCGTTGATTAAATTATCAAGACATAACTTAGTTATACCATGGAACTACAAATCGTGTATTTCCATGGTTATACTTATGTGTACGAACACGTATACACCTATGGCAGTTACCATGACTATTTGTAAAGCGCGTTGCTATATGAGAAACGTTTAATGTTGATACTGACTGGAGCGAATTATCGATCCTCTAATTCATGCGACGTATAGATAGAGACGATAGATCGAATATCGACAATAAATTCATTGACACTACGGAGCCTATTGGAACTAAGATTGAAAATGCTCACAAAAAAAACGCCCACTTAAAGCTTATAGATTCAAACAAGATGTGAAAAGTTTCACAACACCCGGAGGTTGTTTTAGCGAATGCAGCAGACTTCCCGCCCCAATCACAAACAGTGCAAGTGATACCATTGTTTGGATGTTCAGTGTCGAGGTTGGCCCTCTTAGTGAAAGACTCGGGTGTATAAAGTCGTTAGCGCCATTTGTGTAAAGCTGGTGACAGAAACAACACAGCACCATCCATTATACTGTGTTTATGGCTAGCGGCGATAATTATTTAATGCTGTGTATGTTGGACTTCGAAGTCAATAAGCAAAAATAACATACGGATTTGTTTTCAAACACACGTATGTGAGATAACTATTCGGATTGCAGACGCTATTAAGGTGTGAGTTGAATTTATTCATTAGTGGAGTAAACATATGTATTATCACAGTCCCTCTATCCGGGACTGTGGTATTATGGATAGTTGGCGATCGCTTGTTGCTGGTTGTGTTTCGGGAAACGACAAGCGACGTAATGGAAAACGTAGTTTACCCACGTTCGCAATGGTCTGGAACCGTGGCCATGCGCTATGGCTATACGAAGTGTGCTGGGTCTGTATTAAACTAATGATACGAAGCCAAACAAAATACACAAACCCTTGAAGTAGCAAAATAACGTCTACGAACTGGAAACCATAGATCTATTGTGAGGGTGGATGTGAAAACGAATCCGCACAATCGACCAGCCATTGATATGCAAATCGCGTACTAGGCTAACAACGGCATCAAATAGGTCAGCCATTGTGGTATAGGGCGACTCACATGCCAACGTTTTGTCCCGGTAATAAGTAATGGCGTTATATTATTCAAGTCCGAATCACGCAGATATATGCCTACATTGCTGTACATTATAGAGCACGGAGATATCCGTCTTCAACGATATAATCCGGTACTTGATGTCATTGTTAACATGGAACATAACCAAATAAATGATAGTGTACTTACGTGTTCACTTCCAATACAACGGCTTAATTATTCTTCCGATTGACTGCACTATATCTGTCGTATTCTCGATAAACGACAGTAACCTGGACAAAACGTCTGTGGGCGTTTTCCCCAAACGTATCCATCCTAGAAGACGATCGTTCCCAGTCCCGAGACCGTACACATTACAACTACGATGCACTGCCTTCCGTACGTGGGAACTCTGTGAAAAAGCTGTTCCCCATACAAAGAGGTCAAATGTCAAGCATTCACAGCAGAGCGAACCCAACGTTAATCCCAATACGGTGGTGTCAATAACACGGCCGTGTGCATTATGGAAGTTTGAAAAGGTTTCAATGTACTGGGTGGGAGAGGTTATCGGACAACAAAACCTTACATTTGTATTGCCTATAATGTCCTAGTTACATGGAAAGTCGGCATATCTCGGACTTGCAGGCGCCGCTCACTTGAATACATCCCCGCCATGGATGTCTTTCTTGAGCATGAGTAACCATGCTTATATTTTGGGTTACTAGTATAGTCAATGGCAAGAGTGGGTATATTTTACATTTCAGATGGATTTATGAGGCATTTCACGATATATACATGTAGTTGAAAATCGATATTATCTCCGATTGAATATCGTTAAACTTGAACCCCGAGTTATAATGTAATCAAACAATCAAGTGCGTGACATTAGTTTGTATTTCATCTTCACCATGGAAACAAAACTGGACTATGCCTTCACCAATCATGCAGTGAACTCAGAATTCCACACGTATGGTTGGTGAGTATGTCGCCACCAAGTGACACCTCATGGAGATGCAGTAACGGATGGGT